GGGGGGGGGGGGGGGGGGGGGGGGGGGGTAGCCCCCCCAGTTTTTTGGGCAGTCGGGTAATATTCGATTAACAGTCGGGCAATTTTGGTTTGTAATAAAAATAAATCGGACAAATTCTGTGAATTTTTTCGAAAATTTAGTCAATTTTGTGGCCAATGTAGTGTTTTTTTTGAAAATTTATGCGATGCTCCGAAAAATTTTGGTATGTCCGGAAAATTTTTTTGACCCCTTAAATGGTACACTGACCGAAATTTTTTTGGCGACGGGGGGGGGGGGAGAGCACCAAATAATTTTTTCCGGGGAAAATTTTTTGGTACTAGTCGGGCAAAATCACGAGAAGTCGGGCAATTTTACGAAAAGTCGGGCAATTTTCTTTCCGCCCCCCTAATTTTTTCCTTCCGGTACGCCCATGGCTCTCTTGGTTTGTGTCAGTGAACTCTAATTTGTGTATATTCGTTTTTCTTTGTCTAATTCGCTTTTCTTATGTTTATGGAACTTCCATTTCCAGAATGTCCACCTATTACTTTTTTCGACACAAAATGATATCTCTCAGATTTTAGCCGGACTGACTTTTTCGTCCCATTCAGGTTTTGGGACCGACTTTTTCGATATATTTCACAAAACATGGGGGGTGTCACACCCCAAACCCCCCCTAATGTGCGCCCCTGTTTCTGGTTGCAACAACAGCTCGTACAGACATAACCAGAAGGAACACTGGAAAGCTCTTTGAACTGACTTTCGCTCAGGTTTTCACAGGCATAATGTTGCCACTTGCAACAATTCTTGCAGAAAATGGCACCATCGACACAGTCTTCAGCACAAGTGGCACATGGCCATTCAGCACGCATTCCTTTCACTTTACGAATTTGCTCTTTTCCAACATGATGATAACGTGTATAGGTAATACTGATAGACTTTCACAGGTGAACTCAATTCTGTAGTTAACTCTCAGAATGACAAATCAAAAGAATCAAACTATGATTGCAGATTCTTTTATGGTGCAAAAAATTCTGCCTACGCATCACTTTACATAAGAAAAAGAAACTGGTGATATCGATATTAAAAAACAGCAATGACTAATAAAGTGGTTGGTTACAGAAAAACAAATACAAATTTACATATGAACAGACAAATGACTTTTGTAACAAATTCCATGCATTTTTGGGAACCATTGTCTATTGTGAAAAAGTTATTAACGTGACGGCTATTGTTAACATTGATATATTGATGAAATTTTCCGTCCTGTAGTTTGACTAATCTTGGTACGAAATAATATAGTTAATGACAAATAACCCAACGAACACCACTAAAACTATAGTTAATAGCGAGGTTAATATACGTATAACCACGTACGTATATACAACAGTACAACATGCAACCTTGATTTAATTGTTTCAATTTTTAAAACACAATAAAAAGATATGAAACAAATCATGACCACAAAGGCTAGCATTATATTACTAATTAAGTTAAGATTTTAGGGATATTTGATTTTTGATGCTTGTTATTGATTTTTCAATGCTTGTATCTTCACCGTCTATTGACAGCTTTTTGACGGCTGTTGGCGGTTTTTGACGGTAATTAGTATGACCCCTACATAATTTGTTCTTTTATAACATTTGTGAAGTTTTGATGCATTTCTCGTGTTATATTGATGAATTCGGTTGTTTGTCACAAAATAATCTTTAAAAAATTCTGGTAAATTATTAAGATGGTGGTATCGAAACATAAATAAAGCAGTTAAATAGTCGTTGATTTTGAAGATGTTGAGGATATTTAAATCTTTGAAAATTGGTTCACTGTGATCAAAGTAAGATTTGAATGCCATTAAACACACTATTTTTTTTTGTATATTCATTATTTTTTTAATTCTGTTTTTGTAAGTATTACCCCATGTTAGGTTGCCGTAAATCAAGTATGGATAGACTAATGCATAGTATATCAGTTTTACAGTATTTCGGTTCACGAAATGTCGTATTTTAGCTATTATACCAGCAGCTCTAATTAATTTCTTTGCTACCTTAGCTATATGATCTTTCCAGGTCAAACATTCGTCAATGACAATACCAAGGAATACTGTATTTTTAACTTGTTCAATATTATTACCATTAATGTTAATTTTAATGTCTTGCTTTGGTTTTTTATTTGAAGATCGGAATAATATTACTTTTGTTTTTGTAGGATTTATCCAGCGGATATTGGGGTTTTTATATATTTTGATAACTCTACATTATAATTATATTAGTTTTAGTAACAGATAGTTTGTTGCTATGATGACATATGTGTAGGAAATTCACTGCAAAATGGCCTATCGTCTTGTATAGTTAGAAAAGCATGGTGACCCCCAATTTTTTTTCCTCTATTATTTTACTTGGACGAAAAGTTAACAATTAGCAAAATATAAAAAAATTCTGATGCTATTTTTTTGGAAAATGTTGTACTCTTCAGTAAAAGGTTTTCGGCATTACAGAATTTTTTATATTTTGTATAATGAAAATTTTTAGCAGTAACAACCTGCCAAATTAAACCAGACTAAACCAAATTAAACCAGACAAATTGGGCGTATGCTTAGACTGTGAGAAAGCCATTCCAGTAAGAACCAATCATGTGTTGAGAACTCTGAATCTTTTATGTTTGGGAAACCTTTTCCAAGCCCAGCCAATAGAAATCATTCTATCGGAAAGGTTTACTGATTCTGTCCAATGAGATACCTGTATTAAACTATAGCCTCGGGCAAAATATTTCAAGTATGACATTTGATATTTAGATCTGTCAAGTCATTTCCGATTCATTAAGATTTAAGCTTGATATAGTCACAGAAGGTTCTCATCAATCAATATACTTGTCAACTTACGCTTTATATTATAATTATCCTGTTGATCATATTATGAGCTGAAAGTTTGACTCTCAACAATGAATTATTAACATAGGAACATCGCAATTTCATAATATGACGTGTTAATTCCCCAATTTGACTGATATCTTTTATTATATTTAATTATAGTCTTGTATAGATAACTGTAGGATAAAAGGATGTATATAAATATAGCCTGTCACCCGCAACTACATGCCCTCCTTACAGTCGGTTCAAAAATAATCCAAGCCATAAATTTGTTGTTTGAATATTGTCTTAAACATGGTTTAATATAATGATGCCCACAAGAGATATATAAGAGCTTTATTCGTCCAGTGAATGTTTTGCATACCACGGCTGTGTTTCAACATGCCGTATCATATTTCGAATCCCCGCAAGTAATGTTAACCACACTTTAATACTAGGATAATATAGTTATTATGCAGACGCACCATGGTTAGCATAGCCTTGTAGTATTTAATTTGTAGTAAAACTGAACTAAATTAATGAATGTATTACGTATGGCACTATATAGCTATACGCAATATATTCAATAATCACAGTAACATGTCTTCGACATTCGCGCCATCTTATTTATGGCGGGAAACAAAACACCTTTACCAAATCATGTTAGTTATTGCTTTGTGAAGTGCTAAATCTTAAATACGTGTAATAGGGAAAAAGTAAACGATGTACCTGTACGAAATTCCACCAGTCTCAATGCGAGTCGAGGAGTATTTTACATTTCCAATTCCTCATATGAGAACATGTTCCTGCCAATACTGCGCATTATCTTGCGGTACGCATCGTGATGCGTCAGTAT